AAGCTGATCTTTTATATGCCTCTTTTCTCATTTCAGCATTTCGAGGATACCATGAACCCAAATGTTGTTAAGCTTTGCGGATTTCCGTCGTGCATTGACTTAGGTACTGTAGTATTGCACCTTAAATATATTTTTGGTGCTTAACAGATAAGGTGTGTAGATGAGGCGAAGTTTTTGGCTTTTCCACAGCAAGTCTTTTTAAAACAAATTGAACTTTACTATGCAAAGGTTTAAAATCCAATACCGACCGACCGGACACCAGTAAAAACCGAAGGACTAGCGCCGATGAGGTTCTAAGATAAACTCACCAATGAACTGACAACTACGGCTGGAAGTAAACAATCCGTTATACACCAAGATAATAGGAATAAAACAGTTGAGGTTATTGCTAATGGGTATTTTAACATAACTGATTACTATTCCAATGCGTGAATAGAATTCAGATTCAAATATTCCCGAACGGGGTGGCCCAATTTTAACAGAGAAGTTCTCATACTCGGGGCTAATGCATGATAAAACATGAAAAGTCTAAGTGAAACTATAGTCATTACCATGGCACTTGTCTGCCTGAGGTAAACTCAATTTAGACGAATGGACCTTAAGGCTGTGGTGCGAACAGTTGATGACTTTTTAGTTCATGACATTATTTAGGTATTTTATGAGACAGATTTGGTTTCCTCATCAATATTGACAGGCTGGAAGGCTCAGACCAAGATGAGGAGAGTTCTCATAGGCTATGATGCCCATTAACCTGGATGCTTCCATGTCACTCTAGGTGATGTTTCGGCAACAATAACAAGCACCTGCCGTACACGTGAGGACTGCTTGCTTGAGCTTTTAAGATCCGATGTTGAAATAGTCAGCGGAGCATGGAAGATATCATTTACAGCCAGGATCCCGTCATCATAAGTTAAGCTGTTAGCTCCCTAATGATGTGATCGCTTCGTTATGGAATGAAGGCGGGTATGTGTTCAACACACCGCTTTAAGTTAGGTGTGTGTACGTACCTACCTCTGAAAACGTGATAGACCATCTTTTCTCAATCATTAACTTGATGCTGATAGTTGTCAGGTCTATAGCTCCCTTGTGAACTTTTTATCTCATGGTCGGTTTCGTCAAGTCCATTCTAGAAAGGCATTTGCTAAGAGGAAGCTTTCTACTCAGAGAATAACCTTTACCTAGGCCCCTATCCAGGCCAAGATCTAGGGCTCAGTGGTGTTCTGGTAACGCCCTTTTCAGCCAATAGAGAAACGGGAATCAACATCCCACTTACCTCATAAGGCAAGCTTCAGAAATATCAGTCCTCGCTTACGATTTCTGCATACAAGGCTCCCTTTCATCTCAACACAACAGATCTGTCAAGTTTGAAAAGAAGATATCAAGCAAGAATTCCTTGCTAAGGTAGTTGTATTTATATTGTTCTGTTTGAACACGCATACTCCCCTGTGTTGCTCAAGTTTGTCTAGCAGTCCACGGATGAATCGGCAGGAGATCAACCGACGACATGCTTGGCTACGGCCCCGGATCTGAAAACGCAAGCAGGTGTGGTTACATTCTGATTTAAGTGGCACGTATCCTGGTATGAACATGGCCTTAATTAATATCTGGCTAATGCGGCCCGGAACCAAGGCATGGCTTTCCCCTTTTCCCATTAATGAAGCAGCGCTCGGGGAAAACGCCATGCCTGGCCGAATGGAAGAGCAGATCTTCTACTTGTTTCAGCACCACGCACCGAGAAGTTCATGCTGGCCAAGATGGGACAAGAGGGCCAATCTGCCACCTCCCAGTCCTTCATGGCACCCCGGCGGGACGCGGCCATCTGATCCTCGAGATTCTCCTCCGTTGATTGCCAGATGAAGCAGATTTAGGGCCTGCATGAGGCCATGCCATTCCGAGTAGCAAATTGCTCTGTGGAGTTATATGATATTTGCTATAGGAGTACAGATCGAACATGGTCATGTATAAAGGTCCAAGAGAAGCACTCAATGGCTTGCAGAGTCGTTCGGAGTACCCTTGCCGCTTGACATAGTTCCCGGTTCAATCGCCAACTATGCGGTCTCCAATCCTCGCTGCGCTGTTCGCAACAGCCACGTCGGCCGCAACGCTCGACTGGACAGAAGCGTACACAAAGGCCAATGCTTCCTTGGCGAAGCTGTCGCTGAGCGACAAGGTGAACATCGTGTCCGGAGTCGGCTGGAATAAGGGACCATGTGTCGGCAACACGGCAGCAGTCAGCTCCATCAGCTACCCCCAACTCTGCTTACAAGACGGCCCGCTCGGTGTTCGGTACGCGACGGGCGTCAATGCCTTCGTCCCGGGCATTCAAGCTGCCGCGACCTGGGATCGTGCCTTGATGAGGGAACGCGGCGTGTTCATGGCTGAAGAAACCAAGGGACTCGGCATCCACGTGCTTCTCGGTCCCGTCTCCGGTCCTCTCGGCAAGAACCCAACCGGTGGGCGGAACTGGGAGGGTTTCGGAGCAGACCCCTACCTGCAGGGCATCGCCATGGCCGAGACCATCGAAGGCATGCAGAGCGTCGGTGTCCAGGCTAACGCGAAGCACTACATTCTGAACGAGCAAGAGCTCAACCGCGAGACCATGACTTCCAACATCGACGACCGAACATTGCACGAGCTGTACCTCTGGCCCTTCGCGGACGCCGTACATTCCGAGGTCGTGTCGGTCATGTGCTCTTATAATAAAATCAACGGCACCTGGGCCTGCGAGGAGTGAGTTGCGAACTGACCGCCTTGCCCTACCTTCTATCCCCATACACGTTGTAAACAATCGCTAATTGAAAATTGATCAGCCCCTACGTTCTTGACACCCTCTTGAAGGAGGAGTTGGGTTTCCAGGGATACGTCATGACGGACTGGAATGCGCAGCACTCTACCAGTGAATCGGCAACGGCTGGCCTGGATATGACAATGCCCGGGTCCGACTTCGACGGCAACTCGATCTATTGGGGGTCGAAGCTGACCCAGGCCGTAAACAGCGGGCAGGTGCCGCAGGCGCGTATCGACGACATGGTGCGCCGCATTCTGGCAGCATGGTACATCCTCGGCCAGGACAGCGGCTACCCTTCGACCAACCTCAGGGGGAGCGTGCAGGGGACCCACAAGACCAACATCCGCGCCACGGCCAGAGACGGAATCGTCCTGCTGAAGAACGAAGACAGCATTCTTCCTCTGAAGGAACCTTCCAAACTTGCGCTCGTCGGATCTGCCGCAGTCGTCAACCCCCAGGGCATGAACGCCTGCGTCGACCAGGGCTGCAACACGGGCGCCCTCGGAATGGGCTGGGGCTCCGGTACCGCCTCGTACGCCTACTTCAGCGCGCCCGACCAGGCCATCAAGGCCAGGGCCCAGGCCGACGGCACGCAGGTCACCATGTCGGCATCCGACAGCACCAGCTCCGTCGGTTCGGTGGTGAACGGCGCCGACGTCGCCATCGTGTTCATCACTTCGGACAGCGGCGAGGGATACATCACGGTGGAAAACAACCTGGGCGACCGCAACGACCTCGACCCCTGGCACAACGGAAACGAGCTGGTCAAGGCGGTCGCGGCGGCGCACGACAACGTGGTCGTGGTCGTCCACTCGGTCGGCCCCGTCATCCTCGAGACGGTGCTCGCGCAGCCGAGCGTCAAGGCGATCGTGTGGGCCGGCCTCCCGTCGCAGGAGAACGGCAACGCGCTGGTCGACATCCTCTACGGAGACACCAACCCCAACGGAAAACTGCCCTACACCATCGCCAAGTCGGCCAGCGACTACGGAGGCCAGATCAGCAGCAACAGCGACGACTTCAACGAGGGCCTGCTCGTCGACTACCGCAAGTTCGACCACGACGAGATCGAGCCCCGCTACGAGTTCGGCTACGGCTTATGTGAGTGTCTCCCTGGCTATTCCGAGTCTCCGTCTAACCCAGAGCGAATCGTGACTAACCGCCTGAAACAGCGTACACCAACTTCACCTACACCGACATCTTCGTCGACGGACGGCCCGTGTCCGGTCCCGCCAAGGGGGAGATCATCTCGGGAGGCCGCTCCGACCTCTGGGACACGCTGATCACGGTCACGGTCACCATCACCAACAGCGGCGACGTCCAGGGCGCCGAAGTCGCGCAGCTTTACATCGGCTACCCCGAGTCCGCGGGCGAGCCGCCCAAGCAGCTCCGCGGGTTCGAGAAGATCTCGCTGGAGCCGGGCGCGTCGGACATCGCCGCGTTCAACGTCCGGCAGCGGGATATCAGCATCTGGGACGTCGCGCAGAAGGAATGGGTCATCCCCAAGGGCACCTTCACCTTCAGCGTCGGCTCGAGCAGTCGCAACCTCCCGCTGTCGAGCACCCTCGAAGCTGTGTAGACGGGGATAGCTCGAGAGAAATCGTTGCAGCTACTGTCCCTTTTCGGAATGCGTTTGGGTATACCTACAACATATATAGTTCCCAATACCGGAGATTTATGAATATTATTGCAGGCCCACCTTGACTCTATCGCTAGGTTATCATGTGAAATATTAATAAATGTAGGCTAAGATGATTCTCCGAGTGGGAATTTATTTACGTACGTACTTTCCATCGGCCCAAGGTCCCTGCTGCGTAAAGAGGTTTTAGGCTTGACTGACACCATTGCTCTTATGCGAGCAGGAGCTCTTTATAGTTCGGTCCACGAATCTCCATACAACCTTACTGTCTCAGCAGGTACCTCTTGACTTTGTGATTTAGCTTATAGCTAATATTGATGCACGGCAACGAGAGAACTATGTTGCGTGAGTACAACAAGTAAAGGGCTCCCTTATATTCAGCATACTATAGAGAAGTTCAAGGACGTCCCCAGTGAGATAGATGAATCACGGATAGACAGGAAGAATGCCGAGAACTGAGTGTATACCAACTACAATCATTCCTAGAGACAGCGAGAGAGCCGTCTAGACCGGGGGACTCTGTGGGCCAGTGTTATCTTCAGGTATAGAAACAGCAATAGTGGATTGAATACTCAATGCCCATTGGCCCAGTGGTTAAGGCGTCTGACTGTTAGCAAACACGAAATCAGAAGATCCCTGGTTCGACCCCAGGATGGGCAGAGTCTATCATATCCTTTCCTTCCAACCTTTATTCTTGTTCAGTTTTTGTTTGCCCCTCTGCTTGCTCAGTGCACGGAGCCAGGATTTGCTGAGGCTCATTTTTCCGACTAAAAAGAACGCTAGTCAGATAGGGCTTCATCGTGAAGTGGAACCAACACGCCGGGTACGAAGACCCTGCATAGGTTTAAGAAGAAACTCAGCTTCATTCTGACTTTCTGAGAGCCCAGCAGCTTGATGGGTGTCTATATCGAGCTGATGAACGCCGCGGGAACTATTCTTAGTCATGGGCTCCTCTCAGCGGTACATCCGGCTTGGCTAGGTGTAGTTCTCATGTCTTTCAATGCTCGACCCCTTTACGCAATATTGATCAAACTTGGCGCCTGCATGAGGCGTACTAATTGTTCATATACCTACCTCCTGGACTCACACCGCACGTAGAAAGGATCTATACATGATAGGTACATCATGCATATAAATGTATCGTTGAATGGCAACGCTCGAAGTAATTCGTCCAACGAGGGAGAGCCGTTAGCGACGGTGCCGTGGTTCTTGGCTCGGGGCATGTCGTATGCGTCGCCAAGGTCGTTTGCGATGCAAGGAGAAATAAGTGTATAGAGGGGTGAACGTAATCGTGTCGGTGACGAAAGCTTAGGATGACGACGGCTTTCTTGAAAATCACTCATGTCTCAAAGCCACGAAGAAATCCCGAATCCTGCTGAAGTTCTCACCGTCTAATTTCTGTCTCTAGATATCTTATCTCACCGATTAGTGGGGAAAAAGGAAAAGGTCTCAAAAAAGACGAAGAAAAGGGAGGCATGGTAGAAAGAAAGATAAGAGGCGAAAGCTTCGTTAGTGAACTTAGCTCAAGCTTACACGTACGCGAAGATTAAGAAGGAAAAAGCGAGAAAAAAGACAGTGTGAAATTGACGTAGCACAAGGACGCCGAGTCAACTAACAATGTAGATCCCCCACCATTGACGTCGCTGGCGTTAGTCTCGGGCGTCTCAACAAAATCTCACCTACATGCAAAGTCTCAGCTGCAGGATCCTTAGTAACCGCAGGATTTTTTGTCTCTTCTATTGCTCTCTCTATCTCTCTCTCTCTCTCTCTCTCTCTCTCACCGCAGCTACAGGAAACGAACGCATTGGAACGTGAGGGGAATCGATGCTACATAAAGCGCGAGCAGGTTGTCACTTACCGTCCACGACACGGCGAGTCTTCTCCTCCCACCCCGCGACCCTCCGGCAGCAAGCTCCCAGCTTTCTCCGGTACGCAAGCTCGAGTTCCGGCTCCAGTCCCAAGACCACCGGGTGCTCGCACAGCAGCCGGCAGCACACTACCAGAAGCAGCAGCAGTAGTATGTCCATGTCGCGGTCCGAGATGTCCAAGTACCTGGAGCAGACGCACGACCGCGTGTTCGAGCACAACGGGGCGTGGGCGGCGGAGCAGCGGCGGCGGGACCCGGACTTCTTCGCGAAGCTGTCGGCGGGCCAGACGCCCGAGTACCTGTGGATCGGGTGCAGCGACTCGCGGATCCCGGCCGAGATGATCACGGGGCTCGGCCCCGGCGAGGCCTTCGTGCACCGCAACATCGCCAACCTCGTCGCCAGCACCGACCTCAACGCCATGAGCGTCATCGAGTACGCCGTCCGCCACCTCCAGGTCAAGCACGTCGTCGTCTGCGGCCACTACGGCTGCGGCGGCGTCAAGGCCGCCATGACCCCCCGCGACCTCGGCCTCCTCAACCCCTGGCTCCGCAGCATCCGCGACGTCTACCGCCTCTACGAGGCCGAGCTCGACGCCATCCCCGACGAGTCCGCCCGCTACGACCGCCTCGTCGAGCTCAGCGTCGTCGAGCAGTGCCGCAACGTCATCAAGACCGCCTCCGTCCAGCAGTCCTACGCCAAGAATCAGTTCCCCATCGTCCACGGCTGGGTCTTCGGCTTCCAGGACGGCCTCCTCAAGGACCTCAAGATCGACCACGAGGCCATGTTGCACAGCATCCAGAAGATCTACAACCTGACCGAGGCCTAACTAAAAGTTTCACTATGTGCAAGGCGGAAAAGGGAATACGGCGGGCGTTATCAATGTATTAATATAAGCTATGAAGCCGCGCCGAGCCAAATTGGAATTTGACTGCGCAGCTGTCGGCATCTTGGTGCGACGACAGTATTATCTATTTAGGTTCTTGACCATCGAATAGCTCGTAGTCTCGCGACAATTAGACCAATGTTACCAGGAACTGGTATGGCCGGGTTCTTCGAATCATTTTCGGTGCTCCTTTTCCAACTCTAGACATTCCTTCTATTGTACCCGTTCGTCCACTTGTATGGATAGTCTAGTTCTATCACGGTGTGACGACGTAGCCTGACCGTTGCGCCATGATCTGTCCCGTCATGCTCTTCAACTTCTTGTGTATCCTGTACTATACCAATCGGGTTGATAAGACGGCCAGTAGGTTGACTTCGCAGTTGTACGTTCCGACTAGACCTTAAACAGATCTACCGAGACCGCTTGCTGTCTTGTACTTGAGGGAGGGATGTCTGGAGTCTCACTCTTTCGAGTGGCCTGTGTGGTGAGAGATAGGGTTGCGATCTCTTTGTCGTCCTCACTTGCTCTCGTCTTCATCCATGCCGTCTGACTCCCAGAATCCGTGCTCAAAACTCTGCTTCTGCCGGAAGGAAAAGCGTTCCCAGCTTACGCCCCTCCTGACTTTGGTGCCGTCCGCCTTGGTCTCGAACCGTCGCGGCTCGAAATTCATCACGGCATGCCAGGTATGAATCATCCGTCGCCAATAGCAAGCTTCGGCTGCGGGAGTTAAGTAGCGATCTCGGAATACTGCCGTCGACTCTAGGGCGATCCGTCGCCCCTTGTCGGGATCCGCGAGGAGTCCGTCCATCTGTGCCTTTAGATCGGACCAGTCGCGTTTTACTTTAACATAGTTCTGTTTGGAAGGAAAGCTGTCAGTGATATTCCGTACGGTCCGAGCCGCAAGATCGTCAGCATTGGGCGAGCATACCTGGTGAGGACCGCTATCCTTCAAGAGCGGACGATAGTGGAAAACATAATCGAGCTTGTGGATGACGGGGACGCTGTTGCAGTTGTGCAGATAGCGTAGCCGTCCGCTCCACGAATTGCCCTCGGTGTGGGCGACGTACTTGTAGCGGCAAAAGTCTCGCATGTCGAGGATGTTGGAGTGGTTGTGCCAATCGATGGCTTGAACATTGTTCCAGTCGTTCCCCTTCGCAGCCTCGACCAAGGCTGTACGTAGGTTACGGTTGACCGCCAAACTTCCTCGCCAGCACAGCTGTTCCTCTTTGTCGTCCCACCCCTTCGAATACTCCTTCTCCACTTGGACTACGTCGTCGCGAAATTGAGCGTACGATCCTACGCCGTCGTCGGGATAGCTCCATCCGTCGAAGTCTGGCATAACCCAGAGCCACTCGTTCTTCTCCTCGCGCGCCCAGGCCCACCGTATACGCTCGGGGTTCTTCTCGCCCCTAGCAGCTCGGTCCTCGATATCGATGACGAATTCGATGTCTGGAAGGGAGCGGGGATCCGGCATGGCGGTGATGGCGCGATACAAGCTGGCGAGGGCAGCAAGGCCTCGGGAGCGATCTGGCTCGCCTTTCTTCTCCTTGATAACATACAACTCGCCATTCGATATAAGGGCATGGAATTCGCCGTGCTGCTTGCCGGTATAGTCTCCTTTTGCGTCGAGCTTGAGGTCCGACTCGTTGACTCGTTTTTTCCGGTCTAAGAGAAAATTGCGGGCACGGTCGAGTTCTTGGTACAGATCGGGGAATGCGCTCTGTCATGTAATGAGTACCTGGGCCCTGGAAGGTGAGGGTGTATCTGTAGAGATGCATTGCGTACCTCGCATTGGCTGTTTGATAGGCCGTAGTTGAGGCCGTCTCTCCCTACATCGAATGTCCAGGTGTCTTCACTCGACACTGGAACTGCTGGAACTGCCGAAACTGCTGGCTCGACGGACTCTTGGATCGGTGGTATAGCTATAGGTTTTTCGAACGGCGACCTCACATCGCCGAAGAGAGAGAAGGCTACGACGATGAAGACGATAGCCAAGAGCGGCCAGCGAGAGCGGCGCAGAAGCAGCGCCATAGAAGAGTCGCCCATCTTTTGACTGATGGAAAAGAAGGGTTTCTTGGCCAGCATCTCGAAGCGCCAGGCAAGGAGGGTTACTCTGCTATCTTATTTATATCGAGTCAGACCTTTGTACTTGAGTTAGTAAGCGCGATTAGTCCGCCGCAGCGGCTGAGCAGGTGGGGAATCGTCCTTGAAGACGCGAGGGTATTTGTCGCTGTAATTCATGTCAAAGAGAGACGAGGGAATTGCTATATCTTAATGGGATTTTCCACCAGTGTAGATCATCGCACGCATATTTAGTACGCGAGCAAGATGGCAAGATGCGACGCTGCAAAACGCTTGGATACTGATAAGTAGATCCGGGCTCTCGGCAGGGGATAGGGGTCGAGGGGGCAGGGGGGGAGGGGAGCAAGGGGCTACAGGGGGTCATGATTGCTTGGCCTAGGCCTAGGCCCAGGCGAGAGAGGCTGTCCGAGCTGAAATAGGCGTCTAAAAGAACCCTTCCAGCCCCTTTTTCCCTTGGCTTTCCACCGTGAAAGCCGTGAGCTTGTCGCCCCCACGTGCCACGTGGGAATCGAGGCGTGTCAGAGCGAGTGAGCATCGATTGAGACATGATACCAAATGTCTAGAACGGCTCATTTGAGGGACGGAGCTGTAAGGCACAGCAGCATGCTTGCAGCTTGGCAGCATGGATGGTAGAACGATCCGAAAGAAGGGCCTGCTGCTATCATGTCTCGCATGTGGTAGTATTGTATATACCTAGGTAGTACAGTATCCGTAGTACAACTCGAGGTGCTCTGACTCGGCAGGGGCCCACTGCGGCGTGTCCCAGCTCCATCCATAGGCTATTCTGTTCTTGCTGCTTGCCGTACAGACATATATCCCTTACGAGC